AACTGGTTGTTTTGATTTTTTTGTTCGTTTAAATTGCTGATAAGAATTCCTTTCCTTTACATGCTCTAAAACAGCTCTTTCAAATGGCTCCCAATCAGCTTATCACCTGGTTCAGATATAGTAATAAGGTGTTTGGCTCATGTGCCAAGGTTTCATGCTCTGAGGCACAAGCAACACCTGGCTAAGATAATACAAATAACTGAAAGAATCCACAAAGGCAGCCACCACTATAAAAAAAACCCATGCAAATGTAATTATCTTTCACCAAAAAAAATGCATACCTGATCAGTGACATGAAAAAAAAAAAAATCAAGATCAGCCTGTCATCATAACTTTTTTGTTCCAAAATATTTCTTAGAATGAACAGTTTACTGTAAAATTAACACTAATATATCAATATCTACAAATTTGACATCTAGCATATTTGCACAATAAAGTACAATTAGCAACTGTTAAGAGAGCCAAACCTGATTGAATTTGTCACAAATTATTTTACCAGGCTTGGCAAAAGAACTTGCAGTTGCTTTGCTGACCTTCATTACAAGTCACTGGGTGCATAAGTAAAGCAAATTCAAGCTATGATTCATTAAAAAAACTGGACAAAGTGACATGGAACATGCAAGTAACTAAAGCAATGTTCCACAGCTACTACAGGAACACAAGTTGTATGTTGTATGCTTTTCACTTAAGACCCACCTATTAAAGAGATTTCTTAAATCACTTGGAAACAAAATACTGTATTTTTCATATACAACACAGTTGCCTTCAAAAAAATTAGCACCCCCAAAATTGGGGTGAATATGTTAAGCAGGGAAACTGATTTTCTGCCTGGGATAGAAGCACCCTGGTTTGATTTCTGCTCGACAGTGCAGCAGCTGTGGCTTTACTAGTTAGGCAGCTGAGGGAGTCAGTGGACTTTGTTCTTCATTGTACATGCATTAACAACAGTCTCCCCCATTTTAATGGTATTGATGTTTCACTAATCAAGCTAACCTGCCTTAGGGCAATTTTGCTATCTGACAGCTGCTCCTGTCTTTCCCCTCATATTTCACAGCCCTGGAGACCCCTTTAGGTCCTTTAAAAATCATGGATCCAACCACGAAGACCACTTTTCGGCAAGATCTAGGGCTTCAGTTTTAGTTAAGCAGGAAAAGGAGCGTGAACCCGCTGAAGATTAAGCTGTGTCCCTGTTCTGTGCAGCCATAACTCTGGAAAAATCTTTATTCTTCATTCCACCTTTAAAAAACAAGTTACATATTAAATTCCAGGGCATGTTGTATGCGAGTAAATATGGTATCAGGCTAGACTTTCCTGCTCATTTTTGTAGGCAGCGCTCTACAATCTAAGTCCTAGCAAAAAGTTAAAAATACAATGAATAAAATGAATGACATCTCCCCCTCCACTGCCATTCATATTTATTTGGTATATACCAATCTATTCTTATCATCTCTATTTTTAACTGTGTTCAAAAAAGTTAGGCAAAAACAGGCTAGCCAACTAGTGGATTTAGAAAATAATCTTATATACTGCTGATTGATCACAATGTCAACAGTACAATAGTCTCTAAATAAACAGCATAATAGCCAGACAGGTTGATTTACCTCCATGGAGTCCTTTTCTTGAATGTTGAAAGCAGGAATTAAGGATAATTAAAACTAAAAATCTTTACAGAGTTCTCTGAGATCACATATTCTCTGTATTTATCTTCCCACTGTTACCTCCTACTTCAACAAGTGAGAAGGGAAAGGAAGTTCCTTTAAGATTATTGCATTATCTAGATTACAGTGTTTTCCTTTTTTTAAAGACCCACAACCCTGACACTTAAATTTCATGGTACAGAAAAAAAAAGGAATGAAGGTGCTAGTTTGTGTCTGGTACGTCAAATTTTAATTTTCATGTTCTTTGTATTGTCTTTAGTGTCTCCTCTAACCAGAGAATGGAAGTCTGCAGCATTAAGACCTTCTTAGAATTTCTAGGGAACAAGAACATATTTCATAGATTTCATAGACATTAGGGCTGGAAGGGACCTTGTGAGATCATCAGGTCCAGCCCCCTGCCCAAAGAGCAGGAAGTCAGCTAGGGTGAGATGACCCCAGCAAGATAAGCATCCAGGCGTTTCTTGAAGGCATCCGAAGCAGGTGCTTGCACCGCTTCTGAGGAGAGTCTATTCCAGACTCTGCAGAATTGCATAGTAAAGAAGGTTTTCTTATGCCCAATCTAAAACAGTCTTCCAGAAGTTTGTTACCGTTAGGACCCTGTCTTCCCTTGAGGTACCCTGGTGAACAGACATTTTCCCAGATCCTGATGCACATCCCTTGTATACTTATAGGCTGCCACCAAGTACACCCTGAGCCTAGTCTTCTCCAGGCTGAAGAGTCCCATGCCTCTCAGCCTCTCCTCATAAGGCCTGTTCTCTTGACCTCTAATCATGTGCGTGTTATTTCCTGTATTTTGTGCCATCAGGCTTGTATTTTTTGGTTCTTAATTCCGATCCTACATATCGCAAGTCTTCTGAAACTATTTTAAAGCATTCTTGTCAAAAAACAAAGTGTCAGTTCCCTTCCTCTTTATTCTGTTCTGTAGACCGGCAAAGTCCCTTTACCCATGTGGAACAATGGAATATTAATTCTAATTTTGTAACCTTTGTTTTAGAGCACAGGTGTCATTTGGCCTCTGTGGGGCTCCTGGAAATCCTTGAAATATAGAGGTGGGTCCTACTACTCAATTCTAGGGTATGGAGCCCTGTTAGGGATACATTTCAGCAGTGGCAGTGTAAGAGACTGTCATATTAATTCCCATAGCAACATGAGCCATCAGCCCCACACCTAGAGGTGGGTCCGGACCTAGCCAACAAGGAGCTCCATGGTCCAAATCTGGCCAGGGGTGGGTGGGACCAAGCAAGCTGGACAGCCCTCTCTTGGAGGATCTGGGTAGAGAACGTTTTTGTTCAGCTATTAATTAACTTATATTCTGTATCCTCTTTGTTATAAAAGGAATATATTTCGTCTCTAGACTCTATAATTCTATAGGATCTGACACAGTGAAGCAGAGATCCATGAGAAAGTACCTCTTCAGCTGCTGTCACAAAGTATAATAGCCTGCTGTGTCTTTATGGAGGCAGATAGTTTTGGCTACATGTTAAATACATTTCAGGTATTTGTCCCGTTTCAAAAGAAAAGCAGAACTCTCTCTACTAGGGATAGAGATATAGGATACACTTGAAAATAAGCATTTTAAAAAGATTATTATTTTGTATTTTTTAAAGTTGCGTTCGTTACAAAGACCCCATCTATACATTATATTTAGGCTGCAATTATCACATTAAATGCAGCATAAATTACAAAGGTGCTGCACCCAACTCAAGGCACCATAAAATAGCAAATGACCCATAAAAATGTGCTACATATAATACATATGTGTAATGCTGAACATTTTTATGGCTGACTTGTATGGAGCTTTAAATTTACTGGGTAGCTGGGAATGACAATCAGATGACTGTCAGCCCCACCTGGAGCTTCTCCCACCAGGGACTTTTAACTTGCAACCAGGCAGTTCTGGTCGCTGCTGCTGGGCATGGGGTTTAAAAGTTCCAGCAGCCCAGCCAAAGCTGGCCAGTATGGGATTTTGACAAACAAATGATTGTCAGCCCCGGCCGGACTGCCCTGGGTCTTGAATGGGATGCAGACCTGTCCAGGCCAGGCAAACAATCAGCTGATTGTCAGCTCTGGCCTCAGGACTTGAACTGGCCTTGGTGTGGTTCAAGGCCCAGCTGACAATTAGCTGTTAGCCCCACACTACACCAGGGCCAGTTCAGTCCCCAGTGCAGTTACCAGGGAATAAGCTAACAATCAGCTGATTGTTAACCGGGCTCTGGATCTGTGAGCGCTCAGCTTTTAATTTGCTGCTGCAGGGGGAGCATGGAATTAGGATCCCGGGCTCCCCCTGCACTGACAAGTAGAAAGAGCACAATCAGGATCTGATCTCCAATCCCAACAACTGTGCCTCCTACTGTGCATGTGGTATGGCAGGGGGCACAACTGTTGGGACCGGGGATTAGATCTCATGGTATCTTTAAATGAACACAGTCCAGAATCCAAAAACATTTCAAGCTATCAGATACATGTACCAACTTCACCACTGGCCTGCACCATGGGTGTTGGAGACTGTGGGAGTTGGGCTGGCTGCAGTAGTGGTTGCTATTCAGGCACTCCCCACAAGTGGGCACCTGGGACTGAAGCCCTTGTCACCCAAACCTTGCTAATACTACTGTACACAGACTCTTTTAAAAAAAAAAAACAAAAACCCTACATTTACTGCTAAGCTACATTGGTACATCAGTGTATGGCACCTTATACCCTATTTGGCTCTGAAATCTTCACCAAAATGCATGACAATGAATAATTATGGAAGTTTTCCTTCTTTTTAATATTGTTAGAATTTACATCCTTGAATAATATTAGATTGTCTCAGTTTCTAATAGTTCTTTTCTGTTTATCATAGTACATGAATGAAGTTTCCTCATATGACCTTGCCAGTTTGACTCAGCCATGATCTGTAGAGACTGACTGTGGAGGATGAGATCATTTTTGAAGTCTGTTTAGTATTTGAACTTTCCTCACTGACATTACTAAAAAGAATGTTAATGCAGCAAGTTATTATATGCAACTTACTTATAGCAACCTCAAGATTTATCACCACAACTTGTAACATATCATGTGTGGACATTAATTTTGATCAAATCTCATTTATAGACTGTTTTTCACTACTGTATTACTTATATTGAAATCAAACTATTTTTGCACATCTTAAAAACATATTTCCATTCTAAAATAAAAGCAGCAGCCAGGTGACAACAAAACTCAGCTAAGCTGATACAGTCCTCTATTCTGAATTAAGGAAACACATTACATTTAGATGAATTAGGCACATTTCTAAGGTATCTATTCTGCATGCCAAAAATAAATAGATAACCAAGTAAACAAACAAAGATGTTTTCTTACATTTTCTGAAGCACCTGGGCCATCACAACCCCATTCGTTAAATCTTCCACAGTTTGGCATGGTGCCTCAACATTAAATGTCTGGATCTGAAGGGAACAAAAACAAATGGAATTATCTGATTCTGTCTAGTGTTTTTTAATAGAACTACCATTTTCAAAAGTAACACAGTTGTTACCAAGCAACAGTAAATGGTACACAACGGCATACAGAATTTAATGGAAGAAAGAATGCAAGCTCCCAATTTCATTAAGTGGTCAAGGACTTGGTCTGTCTTGCATCGTATCATGTCTGCAATGCCATATCATGCATGGTTACAACCACAACTCTTACAAGTTCTAAACAAGATCTGCAAACATGAGTGACCAGTTAGGTTCCGAAGGAAGGAACTGTTAAAAATACTTACTGACGTATAAACACAAGTGAACTTTAAAGTCATTGAAACCTGAGCTTCCAAAGTTCCTTAACATTTTACCAGATCCGCCTCCCCCATCTGCCCTGCCAGTTTCTATCAAGGGATGTTAAAGCCCTCGTTTAAAAAAAAAAGCACTTACCACCCAGACCTCCCATTCACTTTTCATAATTACACAGTTTATACATGTACACACATACTCCAGGGTTGGAATAGGGAGAGGAATCCTGCTAGTACTAGCAGACATATAACTGGACTACTATTTACTGTAGGGTGCTCAGCTACTACAAATGACAGATTTAATATGAAAGCCTACATAAAGAAAAACCTTGTCTCTTAACCATCACGCTTAAAGATCAAAGAAGTTAGTTAGCAACTTTGGTCCAGAACTAGTGACAAGGATATGGACAAGTCTATGTATCATACGAGGCAGATGAATGCTGGTTTCTAATGCAGAAATGTACAGAAGGTGAAAAGGTGAGTGGATCTTTGGTCTGCACATATTGGGACAAATTTAAGGTACCTAGCCTAAACTGCCAGTGAAATTTCCAGAGGCACTGGGAAACAGCACAAGTCTTTGGGGCAGAAGCCTAAAAGAACAGTGAACAGGGTTGCCAATCTTTCATAATCTCAAATAAAATGCTCTGGTGACATCATCTCTCATGAACCGTTTTGGAAAACAAGTACAGATGAATACTTAATTTGTACTTGCTGCTTGGCAAGAAAAGCTTCTACTACATCTTTTGAAAATACTACCTGGAGGAGTCCTATGGAAAAAGGTGTGGCAGTACTGTGAACAGGCAAGGATGAGCAGGCTCAGAGCTCATCAAGCAACAATATAGGTACCAAAAAACCCGGTATGTTAATAGGCGAACCCCATCTTCAGGCATGAAATGTATCTAATGCAGTGCTGCTCATGGGTAGAGAACACAGATGAAAATTTGTTCTGAAGAGCTGGAACAATCAGCAGAAAAGGAGTGTTCTGAACTTTGTGCTGCTTTTCCCATTCCACAGCAGTATCAGACAACGAGGAGAAACTTGCATGTCTGCAGAAATATGAGCAGCCACCACCCTGCAAAAGCTAGCTAAACTACTCTGCTATTAATGGATAATGGGGAAGTGCAGTCACGCTAGAAAACAAACTGGCAATTCAGGCTGACCTGGACAGGCTCACAAGGTGGGTGGATCAAAACCTGATGGCATTCAACACAGAGAAATGCAAGGTGCTCCACCTCGGGAGAAAAAACCCACATCGTACTTATAGGCTCAGCAGCGCTACACTCATTAGCATGACTGAAAGCGACTTGGGGGTCATGACTGACCACAAGATGAGAACATGAGCCCCACCAATGCAATGCTGCAGCCAGCAAAGTGAACAAAACTCTGGCTTGCATCTACCGGTGCATCTCAAGCAAGACCCAGGAACTCATAGATTTCAAAGGCATTAAGGCTGGAAGGGACCTCACGAGATCATTGGGTCCACCCCCCTGCCCAAGGGACAAGAGGTCAGCTGGGCTCAGATCACCCCAGCAAGATAATCATCCAAGCATTTCTTAAAAGGTATCTAGAGTATTTGCTGGCACCACTTGTGAAAGGAGTCTATTCCATACTGTGGAGGCTCAGACAGTAAAGAAGTTGTTCCTTATGACCATGCTAAAACTGTCTTCCAGCAGTTTGTAACCATTAGACCTTGTCTTCCCTTAGGGTGCCCTGGTGAACATCATACTTATAGACTCAGCAGTGCTACACTCACTAGCACCACAACCAAAAGAGACTTGGGGGTCATGATTGACCACAAGATGAACATGAGCCACCGAGATGCCGCAGCCAGCAAAGCAAATAAAACTCTGCCTTGCATCTACTGAAGCATCTCAGGCAAGACCCAAGATGTCATCCTCCCACCTCACTTGGCTTTGGTGTGGCCACAGCTGGAGAAATGCATCTAATGCTGGGCTCCACACTTTAGAAAGGATGTGGAGAAGCTCAAGAGAGTCCATAAGAGAGGCATGTACATGATCAAAGGACAAGAGAGCAGGCCTTATGAGAAGACGCTGAGAGGCATAGGGCTCTTCAGGCTGGAGAAGCAAAGGTTCAGGGGGGACTTGGTGTTCAGCCTGTAAGTATATAGGAGGTGTGCATCAGAAACTGGGAAAACATCTGTTCACCAGGGCACCCCAAGGGAAGACAAAGTCTAATGATCACAAACTGCTGGAAGACCGTTTTAGACTGGACATAAGGAAAAACTTCTTTACCATCAGAGTCCTCAGAGCCTGGAATAGACTTCCCCCAGAAGTGGTGCAACCACCTACTCTGGACACTTTTAAGAAACACTTAGATGCCTGTCTTGCTGGGATCATTTGACCCCAATTGACTTCCTGCTTCTTGGGCAGGGGGCTGGATCCAATCATGCAAGGTCCCTTCCATCCCTAATGTTTATGACAACTTTACCCCCCTCCTATACTTTCATTCATGAAATCTCTCTCTGGCTACCTAAATGCAGGGTGAAGAGTGCTTCTGGGTACTGACAGCAGGACACAGGTTGCTGACAACTCCATGGCTTGCATACCTCCTTGCAAGCAAAAAGAATGATAAAATATTTACCAAGAACTAGGGTAGTTCAGACAATGAGTCTGCTTTCTATATATTCTTCAGCAGAACATGCATGTGGTTGCAACAAAGAATACTATTACCTATAGTTGGTAGATTGCAAAGATCAGAAAGAGAGAACACCCACAGACTTGCATGCTTTGTTTGAATTTTAATTTTTTTAGTATAACTTTGTACAGCGAGCAATAAAGAAAGAGATAACGCAACTTTTTTTAGGTTGGCACAGTTTATGCTATTAAGCTTTATTGATTTGTTACAATAAATACAGTATCTTTTTATATTAAACATCACTGATCCACAAAAACACAAAGCCATTTAAAAAAAAAAAGATTATAAGCATCCAGTTGCAGAAATAACTTTCCCTCTTTAGAAACAGAACGGAGATGAAAAAATCTTTTGTCTGGACATCACTGAGGGCTGGAAGTCTCTACCCTTCCCTTCCTCAAAGCAGCTGGCTGCCAGATTCCCAGCACTTCTGCAACAAGGGTAAACTGAGACAATGCAAAATAGCAACCTCTGCAAATAAAGTGAGCACTGAGGAACAGAGGCAGCACAGGGCAGCTTCATGAGATCAATCCCCTGTGCTGGATTGGATTTCTTTGCAGGCTATAGTTTGCCAACTCCCAAAATAGAGAATATGGAGAATGCTCAAGAGTGAGCTGAAGAGCAACTCAATCCAAAAATTTGTATCCTGCACTTTGTTGAGGACATAATAGTAGCCAGTGTGGGGCAGCGGAGGAGCAGGGTCCAACTGTGGAGATGAAGCAGCAGCCAGCTTCCTCTGTGCCTTTAAGTGGACTTTAACAACAGCAGCTGGAACTCGGCCCTCTGTCCATTCCTAAGAGATGTATTTTTCCAGGAAGTTCTTTGTTCTCCTGCCAGAACTGTTTCTGGTCTCGGGTATGTCCAAGGTTGCCCTCATGTTTTATTCCTCAAAGTTGCGAATTCATTCAAATTCTCAGTTCCCATTTTTCTGTGATTTGATAATCTCAGATTTTCTTCTTCCAAGTTGGAGTCTAGATGGCACGCACAGCTGGACAACACATTCTGAAAAAGAAAATCACCATATTAACTAATACCTACAGCAGTTCTTCATACATTCCATAGAATATCAAGGAATGACACAAATCATTATTTCCCTTCACTTGTACAGTTCAATAATTAATCCAGAGTCAGACAGCTGAGAATGGCAAGAATAAGCATTCTCAATTGTCACACAACACTCAAAACTGAGTAAAGCGAGACTGATTTAGATCAGGGAACAGAACCACATGCAATAATGTCAGTGGCCTGAAATATTTCTTAACAGAAAATTGGAATCTTAGAAAGTATTATTTTTTCACTGCAATTAAAAATATCCCCCCCCCCCCCAATGTCACTTCAGGAGACATTTAGAAAATGTCCCCTTTATTCACCTGTCATGTTGAATTTGGCATGCCATGGTCAGCTGCCACAAAATGCCAACCACAGCTCTTCCTCTATTACCAAAACAAAAGCAACCCAACCTCCAAAAACAAAAACAATACCCCGCACCTACAAGGAACAGGTCTACTGAAATAAAATGAGAGAAAGGTGGGTGAAAGAAGGGTCAAATATGGAAAGGGAAACAGTTACAAGTGAACAGAAGGACAGTGAATTGCGCTGTGGGCAAAAATGGTTTAGGGAAGCAGTTGACAATCTGTGGGCTAGATCTATAACAGATCAAGGCATCACCAGGGTCCTAACTGCCTTCTGTGCTCAATTTCTTCTTTCTGCTGCTGTGGACTTCTAGGAGTGCAGGTGAGGCCCATGACAGGGGCTGGGTTGCAAGCAGCAGCCCACAGTGACAAAAGGTTACCAGCCTATGGTTTAGGGAAATGACAAGTGGAAGAGTGAGGGGGAAGAATAAGTGGACACTTCCATCCACACGCAAGACTTATCTGACCATTTATTGACATTACTGGCAAAATTTAGAAGAACTCACTTTTTAATGATTTAGAGAAAACATTCTTTTCAGTTCTGGAGTCTGGAAAAATCAGCCTCAAATCAGAATTTTTCACAATAATTGGCTCCATACCTGCTGCATAAAGATGGTCATCCACAGATCCTAGTTCCTCATGTTGAAACAGAGCATCTTGAGAGCTAGGCCTCCATCCAGCAGACAGATCCTCTTACCAAGGCAACTTAGCCAGGTTCTTTGACCCCCATCTTCTCCCAGATAATCATGCCACAAGTCACTTTTTATTTTGTTTTTAAAAAACAGTTCATAAATATATCAGTGTAAATGAAGCAAAATTTTAGGGTTCTGCCCAGAATCTTGTAAGAACGGGAAACTTGAACTTTCTGATGCTGTCATTGGTATTACAATGTGACTGAGTCTTTTTATTTTATTGCAGCATATCTTCCAAGCCCATCTTATACTATGCACTTGAATGATCAATTGTACACAAAAGCACTTATTTCCACTGGTCAGTTGTGCTTGGATTTCCTCCTCATTCTGTGACATTTGTGCCCAAATATATGAATATAGCAGGCAACACAATCATGAAAGAACCTCTTTCAAGACATCCCAGTAACATTTGCAATGCTCAGAAATCACAAAAGAAGCTGCCTGCAGTGCAAGCTGAGCTCATAACTGAGCTCCATGTATGGTTCTACCATTTGGGCAAAATCTCTTGGCCAAGCTAACTTTCGTGCAGTGGGGTGAAATGTGATGTCACTTAAACTGGTGTGCTTGTGGACTGGAATAAGTAGACAATATGAAGCAGCTTCTTTTATTACACTGTCCATGTATTGAAACTTAACTACAGCAGGCTGAATTGTTTCAGGCTGACTTAGTATTCAGACCTGCTTAAAACCTCTAGTCCAAGAGATGCCTGGCACATATTTAACCACTAGGGAAACACAAAGGAGGATGCAAGATGTTTCGTAAGTGTGGTGGAAGGAGGCATAGGTTTCAGAAAGGTCCTTTCTTCCCGCACAATTAAGAGGAGAAAAAACAAGATAAAAAACAAGGCTAAGGGATTCAGCCTGCACAATGAGCAATCACAGTAAGAACATGCATGTCATAAAAACCACATACGTTAAAGTTGTAGCCAATAAACAGGCCACACCTACTCTAATACCTCTCATTTTAACTGTTGTCTATTTATTAACTGCCCTTACCCATTCCTTTTGATGATTCTTTTTCCTTAAATAGCATTTACCAATAACATTCTACTAGAACATGACCTCTGACCATTTATAATCTTGCAGGACACAACCATTTCCCCCCACCTCTCCCAACACTGTGGAACTCCAGTTGAGGTTATATAAGAAGAACCGCCTCAGTTCACTTTGCTGGCCCCCAAGGTCTTTACAAGTCTGGATAAGTGGAAGTGACTGTATAATCTGAACCCACAGATGTAACAGTTTGAAGAATCAGAGTTACTGCTACACATCCTAGCTGCTTCATGTTTTTACTTGTGGAAGTCTAGTAAACAGTGCAAACCAAAAGATGATGAGCTGAGAAGTTTTAATTAAAACAAAAATGATAGAACTGTTCTTCAAATTAGATCTAGATGGCATAGTAGTTCTCAGTAAACATGTGACAAAACCCAGCTACTAGACCAGAAGATTAATAGTATGGAATTATTGCAGAGACAAGCCATGGGAAATTGAATAACCATAGGAAAGCAAACAAAGACTGACAATGCAGACAAAGCACATGCTCCAATGAATAATCTAGTTTATTTTCAAGCCTCAAGGCCCTTTTAACTTCTACAATATAGAAGCTGGAATGAGGTTTTGAGAATAAAACTTGAAGACTAATAATCCGTTTTCAGACAGGACTCAAATGTTATTTAGATGCAAAAAAACCCAAAACCTGGATGAGAATGCGCAGAGCATCCTTGTCAAATGCCATAAAGTTAGGAGCTACAGTTGAAGCCTGCAACTCAATTTTCTCACAGCTGTAACTGCAACAAAAAATGCTGCTTTCAGTGACAGGTGGAGTAAAGAGTTCCGAAAAGTCCATAAGGTGGCTTTGGTGGCACGAATCTGAAATACCCAATTTGTGCAAGTTCTCTGACAAGTGTATAAACACGTAATTTTTCAAGTAAAAAATAGCAGCTGTGTGCATTTTCATTAATGACAAGAACAGGCTGAGAACCCTCAAGTATAATAAATGTTAACAACACTGATGACATGGATACAAATTAACCACACAGGCAAAGCAACCAGGAAGAATTCACACCATCCACGGAGAATGCTGGGGACTGGTACAACCAAAAGCGCCAGAAGCACCATAAAATGGGGGGTGCTAGAATAGAGACTATGAATCTGCAATGGTACCTACAGGAATGTACATACCACAGAAATCGATAATGCTACAACTGGACATAAATATCTCAACTCCTATAAATATCCATAGTTTCTCTCTACCTGCAGAAACACTACCTTATAGTGAACTTCCATGGCAGAAGGAAGGAAAAGGAAAAATGTAGCTGTGTGAGGCAATATATGAGAAACTACAAGTTACCATTAGTAACTCCTTTCTCTCTGTCCTAATATCACTGGAGACTTACTATAGACAACTAGCTAACGTTGTTTAAAACTGCAGGAGTCAAAGAGGCCAATCCCTTATTTAAAAAAAATACTGATTTGTGAAATTATGCCCTGAAGATATAGCACCCTACAATTTCAGATATGGTTATACTGGAACTACATTATAAGGAAGCTACCACCTAACATGATTGAAAAGACCTGAGGTATTAAGTCAAAAAACAACTCAACACAGACTTTAAGCCAAAGGCATTTCTGATGCTGCACCTACAGCAGAGAAATGAAGTCTGTAGTTGAATCAGATGTACTGAAAAAAATTAAAATCAGAAAGGTAAATGCACATCCAAGCCAGATATACTGAATCAGATTAAGAATGGTTGGAGATCTGCCCCAGGTCAACACTTGTACTGTTTTTAACTGCTGTGGCTGCAACACTGTCTGGGCACTTATTTGGGTCAGATCCAGGAGGGTGCAGCAGTGCAGCTGCCTCTCTCTAGTTGTGCGGTGCACGACCAGAGAAGGAAGAGTGCCCCTGCCCCTGTTTGCTTCCCCATGCTCTCCCCCAAAGCTGAATTCAGAAGCAAAGGAAAAGAGAGCAAAATTAACACTCAACCCCTGGGCTCCTTAGCTGTATGAAATGAGAGATTTGCATGCCACAGCTGTTCATCCCCTCCTTTCCCCTGCTGCCAAATACAGCTGGGATGGGGGGAGGGGCAGGGACACAGGAATGGAGGGCAAATGTCAGTGGCATTCACCCCTCAGACCCCAGAGCCCTGTGAGGGCAGGGGCTCCAGCCAGAGCCTGCACCAATCAGCTAGGTAGCTCACAGTGCTCATGGCACTTGCAGAGCTCTGACAGAAGCTGCACTGACTTGCAGGTAAGATCAGAGAACTCACTGACATCCATGACAGCCATGAAAGGGCTGTAATCCTGGATCCACCAGTGCATCTTATCCCATAGTAGCTAGCACTTTCTCAGAGGGGATGGATACTGGATGGTTCCAGAAGGCAGCACTGCTTCCCAGCAAGCGACAAACTAGAGTCCTCTGCTGACTCAGAATTACAGGAAACCCTCACTATTCATGGGTTCAGCATTTGCGGTTTCAAATATTTGCAAATGCCAAACCTGCATCTACATACACTTACAGGAGCTCCTCAGGACCTACATGCTTGCCACCACCGTGCTCCCGCCATTGCCAGCACAGCCGTGCCCCACTGCAGCTGCCAGGGGCACTGAGTTCATGAACGCAGATGGCATTCACGAACATAGTGCCTTATTCGTGGATTTCACCATTCGCGAAACATATCCCCCATAAATGGCAAGGGTCTCCTGTACTAGTTCTGAGAAGCTGGCAGGGGAAATACTGTGACCACTAAGGCAGTTTTCCTAGTCACACCTGGGGATAACCGCTTTTCTGGCATGGGGCAGTACCCTTGAAGGTAACATATAGTTACTCTCCCACGATCACTGCCTGTGGGAAGATCTTGGCTTTACACCCAATTTATGGAAATGGGAGACTTCTCCCTAGCTTGCCCCTGGGGCCTTACAGCTGAGGGCAAGCAAAACCTGGGTTCAGCATCCGAACCCCAAGCCTCCAGGCTTGGGCCTACACGTAGGATACCTGCCAAAGGATTTGGAACCATTTGAAGTCCCAGGTGGGGTGGAGGATGTTTGCTGGTAGTAGGGCCACTTATGGTTTTTGACTGACTCATGGATTTGGAATTGATTTGGCTGATTTGGATTGGAACATGAAAAATTCTCCTTAAAAATAAATAAATAAATAAATAAATAAAAGACTAGTTCTGAGAAGCTGAGCACCAGTCTCCCGCCTCTCCTTTCCTGTTCTACTTGCTGTTCTCCTGGCTTCCTCCAGAAACTTCTTGTTCAGCTCCCAGAAGTGCAGGAAGCCAAAGCTCTTCCTACCAATACCCAATCCATACCAGGACCCCAAGTTCTGAGGGCAGGTAAGTGTATGAGAGTTTCAAAGACGACAAAATTAAAGGTACACAATTTGTCCCCCCTTTAAAGCTACCAAACGCAAAGGTCTAAGTCTTAGAAAGTAAAAACCTCAAGGGATGTCACACAATAAAACAGGATGTCGGCACTGCAGGTTAGCAAGGGGAGGAGCAGCTTCAGCTTGCCTGTATCCATGTTAATAGAAAATTATTTTAGGCTGAACAGGTTCTGAAATCTGTGGAAAGCCTTGTATTGTCTCATTCAATCTCTAGCAAACTGGATGAAGCACTTCTGTGTGGATGTGATTTACCAGTGTTCTGGGAGGTTAAACCAGTTTTTAAAAGTCAAATTCTCTCAAGAAAGCAAATCTCAAATAGTTTAGTTTTCTCTAAACAGTAGCTAAAATAATTCTTTTGAAATCCAGAATGAGCAACCATAGCTCCTGAGAGCCACTACAGAGCTTGGAGAAAGTCAGATAGCGACAGCAACTAAGATTTAAAAAAAAAAAACTGTTTCACTGTAAATCAACTAACTTTGTGGTTTCTTTTACAGTTTTGGGAAAATATCTCTCAGCATAGAGGATTTTAAAACGAATTCAGCTAAGCTGATTTTTAAAACCAGGTGGGGCAAACTGAGACTAGCCAGTCAGAACCACTGAGTCTGTTTCAAAACCACCCTCATACACAAAAATTTTAAATGGTTAGAACAGCCAAGGAAGCCACACATTCAGCTGAGAGACATGAATGTAAACAAAATGTTTTGACTCACCATAACGCTATTTAAGAACTATTTACAAGTATTTCTGATAACGACCAAAAAAAAGGAAGCCAGTTTCATGACTGCCATCCTAGATCGGGTGGTGTACCTGTACTTTCTGCCCATGGAATATTTGAGGAACACTACTTGTTCCTTCTTTACAGCTCTTTCCTGCAGTGGGATTAAGGATCCCTACACAAGGGGAGTTGCAGAATCAAGGATTAAGCTATCTAAAAATGGTCCTACAGTCATATGGCTAAGCACATGACTCTCCCATATTAACAATGTCATGGAGGAGAAGTAATAGTAGTCAAGCATTTCCATTTTAAAAGATTTTTTTTTCCAGGGCTTTTACGTTTGTCCAATGTTCACCTTTCAGGTTCATATTTCCAGGACACTTCTTTGTCCCAGACTTAGTTTTATTTTGTTTTCTGTTTTAGGGTGGAGGAGGTTCAAGCAAAATTACTCTGGTTTGCAAAGAAATTGAAAATAAATGCTTTCCAAGGGTAACAAAAGTTTCCTTCTTTTACTGAACAAATCTGGTCTCTGCAGAAAACAAGTTGAAAAATGGCACGGATATAGCTTCTAGCTCAGGGGCCCAATTATTTAGACCCAAGGGCCACATAGGCCGTTTCGGTGAGATGTTGCAGGCTGGGTCAGAACCCCTCCTCTGCAACAACTCACCAAAACTCCCCATGTAGAACATCCCTGGGCAGCAGTGCTCAGGAGTCAGAGGGGCAGGCAAAGCTGGAATCAGAGCGGGGTCACGAGGTGGTGACAGAGGGGCTGGGTCAGAGCCACAATCTGTTGCCCGCACACCCCTGCAACGGGTGCAAATTCTATGGGTGGAGCACACAGGGAGCAGATGTCAGCTCTGCCCCAGCCCAGCCAACAATCCTGACCCTGGACCTGGACGCAGCTCCCCACCAGCCTGCATACAGCTTCCATGCAACTCCCTGAAGCAGCATCCAGGACTGGGACTGGGATCTTGGGGTGGTGACAGTACCAGGCTGGGGCAGGGCTGGAAACTGCTGCTGGGCCTTGATGGGGGGCCACAGCACCCACAAAGGAGAGAGGAGGGCTGCATGCCCTGTGGAGGAGGCTCAGGAAGAATCCTCCCTCCCTCTTCCTCCAGCCTGGGGCACAAACCCCAGAGGTGGGGAAAATGAGAGGGGCCAGGGGGTGACTCCACACCCCCTGCCACGTGTAGTGGCCAGGACCAGGCTGAGGCTGGGGGAGGCAGGTTGCACTGGGGCATCCCTGTCCTATGCCAGCCTGTAGCTCACCCAGGGATGCCTGTGCAGTGGCTGCAGGCCCCAGCCCTCCTGACTCAGAGAAGTGTAGGGACAGCAGCAGAAACACTGGCGAGGGCATTGCATCCAGGGTCCAGTCTCTACGGAGACCTGCCTCCAGCCCAGGATGCAGCTCCCCACCTGACCACGCAGTCTTCATGGAAACCGGCCCCCGGGGCAGCACCCTCACTGGGGCTCCTGCCACTACCCCGATGCCACTCTGCTCTGTGCTGCTCTGCCCCATGCTAAACCAGCCGGGCTAGGGGCTGCCACCACCACATGGGCATCCCTGGGTGAACTGTGGGCTGGCACAGGATGGGGGTGCCCCAATGCTGCCCAGGAAGGCCAAGGGACCCACCACAGGCTGGGCAAAATTGCTCCACAGGCCATATTATGCCCAGCCCTGTTCTAGCTGGTACTCCAGACTTTGTCTTCAGGTACCACTAAATCACTGAAGTTGCCAAGTAACAACAGTTAAAAAACAAGTTTTATTAGTTTTCAATGACTCTTGTCTTCCTCTGCCAAACAATGAGTTATTTTTTAAGTTTTTAAAAAAAAAGTCTTCCAACAGTCTATTGATACTAGACACACTGAGTAAAACATTTGCATATAGAAAAGGCAATAGGAAAAAATTGTAGATCCTGGAGCATTTACCTCACTAAGCATGAGCTGTATGAATTCTACAGCTATTCGTCATATAGTTTGTAAAATTTCTTCGACTTACCATCCACTTTAATATCCGAGAGTCCCACATTTTTAAAAAACTCCGTATCAGATCTTTCTTAGTTCCATATTCTCTTACAAGACAGTAATAGAGGTTTTCATGCACTGGCTACAATTTAAGGATTTAGGTTGCAAATAATCTAAATTATTAGCAATTGTATCAAAGTGTTAGGCTTAGACAGACTAGTGTAAATAGGTCAGGTGACTTTTAACCGGGGTTCACCATGGTATTAGAGGCAACTTAATTTCCCTCCCCCAACACCCAGCTGCATGCTATAATACCACTGGTTGCAATGACTCAATGGTAGTCATGCCAGAAAGATTTTTGGTGGGTTATGTGTTTCCAAACAGCTAGTTGCCTCTGAAGTTCCACAGCCACATACCATTTTAAGCATCCATGCTTGAGCAGGTAGGTCCCTGGGGCACTGCTGCTTCAGTTTCAAGCTTAATGCAGTCCTTAAAGTACAGAGAGTGCATTCAAGCACTGGTCTCTATTTGCCATTGTCTTGCAAGCCCTCACAGCACTGATTTTTTAACTTCACAGCAAGCCCTTTAACTTCACCATCTCCACAATGCAGTGCCTTTCTTTCCCCAGACACGTACAGATACCTGCTCTTCCCTAGGTCCCAACTCTCCTCTCCTGTCCTGATTCCTTGTAGCATTCAACACCAGAACAGATGGAGTGAGAGGAGGGTCAAGTAGCTTTGCAAAAGAGGACAGGAGCATTAGCAAGGATACGTAGGGGTTGAGGGAGAAAGTAAGAGACTGGACTATTGATCCCACACCCTTCCCCCGGACATGGGCATGGTCTCCCCAACACATAACACACAATCCTCTCCCAACCAGCCCTTGGTACATCCCGTCCCTCTGCACATGCACGCAATGCTGTCACAGAGCTCCTGGGTCTGTCCCAGCTGAGGATGTGGGTGGGGCAAGGGAGAACAGGGTTTTCTGAGAAGAGTCAGTGACCTCATTGCTCATTTCAGAACCCATTACTGCTCAGTCTGTCTCCGAAGTTTCACAGACAACCACATTTTTTAAGTGCAGCAGGATTTCTCTACAACCACGATGGCCACATTCCACAGTTCCATACTGGGGAGGTCTACCTGGCAGCCTTGTTCACTTATTCGTGAGAAAATAAAGCACCGACCCAAAAAATTAACCTGCGAGTGCCGAGAACTAAATGAATTATCCAAAGCGGAAGGGCAGTTTCGTGGTTTGCTCCAACTATTACACGGGTTGGAGGGAAAGCAAAACGGCTGTAAACCCAGATTAAGCAGCCAGTGGATTCTAGCTGGTTTCTGTGGCTCGGGAGCAGCGCAAGGCAAGCAGGACCATCCCAGGGAAAGAGGCCAAGTGCAAGTGTGCAGAAGGCTGATTTGACAGATGTGCGACTGTCCATGCTCCCTCGGGGGGTCCTGGCCTGGCCTGCACACACAGGTTCCTAGCTGTAAAAGCCAAAAGCATTTCCAGGCACCTTTTTTTTAAAAAGGCGAAGCTAAGCGGCGAGGCCGAGCGCCCAGGCCAGGAGAAGCCGAGGGCCGGCTCCCCGGGAAGGGAGTCACAAGCCGCCCAAGCACGGGACAATGACGGGGGGATTGCCGGCCCCCCCAGCGCGGGGCCGGGGAGCGCGGGCCGCCGCCGGCCTGGCTGTGGGGGGCCGCGAGCGC